TTTTTTTTTTTTTTTTGAGACAGAGTCTCACTCGGTTGCCCTGGGGTTGAGTGCGGTGGTCACAGCTCACAGCAACCTCAAACTCTTAAGCTCAGGTAATTCTCTTGCCTCAGCCTCCCGAGTAGCTGGAACTATAGGTGCCACCCACAACGCCCAGCTATTTTTAGAGACAGGGTCTTGCACTTGCTCAGGATGGTCTCAAACTCCTGAGCTCAAGCAATCCACTGCGGCCTCTATCTCCTAGAGTGCTAGGATTATAGGCATAAGCCACCCATCCCTGCCTTAATTCTACTATTAATAGCGAGGGAAGTGGGAAGGTTCTCTCTCCCTCACTACTCTGAATACTTTCAGGAAACAATGTTGCATAACCATAGAGGTATTTCTGCCTCTCCAACTGAGATCCTTAAAACTATAGCATCTTATGCACTTCACTGTATCAATGTTATTGGCAAGTAAAGTAAGTCAAGTTAAAGTAAGTAAAGTAAAATAGTAAGTAAATTTAAGTTCTACTGTAATATTATGAAATATATATTTTGTCTTTGACTCTGTTTGGATTTTAGGAGTTATAAGCCACCAAAGTAATGTATTTTTGTATGCTAATGATTGACTAATGGTTGACCGCCCCTAGGAGGCTCCGCTAGGCAGCTGGTCACCAGAAAGACCAGGTTATGATTAGAGGGTTGGGACTTTATCCCCCTTTACCTCCAGGGAGGGGAGAGGGGATGAAGGTTAAATTGATCAACAATGGCCACTGGTTAATCACTCATGCCTACAAAATGATGCCTCCATAAAAATCCAAGAGGATTGGGTTCTGAGAGCTTCCAGGTAACTTTAAACATGGGGCTACTGGAGGGTGGTAAGCCCGGGAGGGGCGTGGAAGCTCTGAGCCCCTTCTCACATGCCCTGCTCCATGCAGCTTCATCTGTATCCTTGTATATCCTTTAATAAGCCGGTAAACCTAAGTATTTCCCTGAATTCTATGATCTGCTCTGGCAAATTAATGAAACCCAAAGAGGGGGTCATGGGAACCCTAGCTTGAAGCTAGTTGATTAGAAGTTCTAGCTTCGTGAGTGGGAGCCCTCACCCGTGGGATCTGGTGCTGTCTCCAGGTGGAGAGTGTGGAAGCTGAATTAGAGGACACCCCTGAGTGTCTGCTGCAGAACTGCTTGTTTGTTTGGCGTGTGGGCAGAAATCCTCATATACTTGGTCACAGAAGTTTTCTGTGCTGATGGTTGTTGTGGTAAGAGAGTAACGAATAAACAACTTGAGTTTTTGCCCCTTCTCAGATACATTAATCATTTATTAACACAAAAAGATCTTATCTCAGTGGTTAGGGCGCTGGCCACATACACCAGGGCTGGTGGGTTCAAACGTGGCCTGGGTCTACTAAACAACAATGATAACTACAAAATAAAAGCTGGGCAATGTGGTGGGTACCTGTAGTCCCAGCTACCTGGGAGGCTGAGGCAAGAGAATCTCTTAAGCCCAAGAGTTTGAGGCTGCTGTGAGCTGTGATGTCACAGCACT